CAAATTACATTTCTCAGAATAGAATACCAAAAAAACACTTTTAGTTAAGGAAACAGGAAACCTCGAAGGAATTAGAATACTCTTGTATTGTAATATACTTATTATAGGATAATCGAATTCCATAGGAGATTAGATATTATAATATTATCTACTATTACAAAAGTTAATAAGATCCTAAAGTTCAATTAAGAATAGAATCCAGATATATAGTCTGATAACATTTCGTAATTAGTTATTCTAATCAATAAAGGGATATTGAAAATATAGTCTAGGTTTATACAAGGTTATATGATATAGTTCATATAATATTGTTTATATATACATATCTTATGCATTTATATATATATATATTCAATTCTATTAGAATATCTCTAAGGATATATATACAATATTACTACTGTTATATCTATTATAATCTTAGTGATATTCCAACAACAATATAACACAACGCCATGGATGGATGGATGGATGGATGGATACGAAATAGATATACCCGTATTAGCTTAAATTTAGGAGGGTACCCTCAAGAGTGTCTGTGTATGAAACTAGGTTCTAGATTCTAGATTTTGTACTAGAAAAGACTTTTCTAAGGAAGAATACATTGATTGACTGCTGAGTCTTTTTCATAATCAAAATATCAATATAAAACATGAGACAAATGCATGGGCCAATCGAAGGTCGTTATAACAAGATTTAGTGTACGATATTGATTTCGATTGGAAAAATCGTTGATCAGGGATGGTCAAATTCCTGGAATATATTTTTATTAATGTCAGAATAGATCGGAAAAACAATAATCAGGGACGAGCTAGAATAACAAATTTGAGTGATAACCATGCAAAAACTCCAATTAACGTCTCATTCTATCATCTTAATTAGAACTCAAAGCCCTTTAATGTTGTGTGCAAAAAACTCCAATAGACATCTCATTCTATCGTCTTGCAACTCAAAGACCTTGAATGTTGTTCCTCAAAGATTCTTCCAAGCTCGTAAATCCAGTACGTCCGAAATCCCTTCGGAGAAGCTCTGCGGCCCTTTGGTTGGCTACCTTTGATAGATCATTGATGCTATCATCGTGGAAGTCATCCATCATTTTTGCATCGGGTCGAATCTTGCGGAAGGTTCTCAATAAAGTGTTGTTGTTGAATGGCTCGGCGAAAGCAAAGATTCTTTCGTTCTTCACATCCTCGTCAATCAATGCCGAGACATGCAGGCGTCCGGTATCTTGCACATCAACAAAATACTGAGGTGGTAAATGTTTAAGCACCGAATTATCTCCCAGGTAAAGCATTCGAACAAGGCCGCCAGTAGAGCCAGCTTGTGTTGGATCCAAGATCAAGCCCATGTTTGTATCTGGCAGAACAGCATTGGCTACGAAGCCTGGCTTGTTCTCCTTCACAAAATTCCATACCGCTTGCTCGGTTTCAACCTTGCTGGCTCCGTAAACAGCCCATTTTCTAGAAGGCTCATATGGGGGTGGAGCGTGTGCTGCTTCAACATCTTCTTCATTCCATGTATTTTCATCGATATAAAATTCCTGATTGGGCTTCGGGTGAGTTGCGGCCATAGAGGATGATGTAATGACGAAACGTTTGACACTAGGCTCCGAGGCTGCAGACTTGAGAATGCCGTTTACTCCGGCAAGACATTCTGGTATAACCTAGATAAAATTTAAACGTCAGTTATGTATTGAGAGAGATGAGAAGAATCTTACCTCGTTTGGATAGGGTGAGAATGACATGTTCGATGCTACGTGTGCGATGCCAGATACACCCTTCACAGCTTTATCAAAAGCCCCTTCATCAGCCATATTTGGCACAACTACGACCTCAACTCTGTTCTTTCCATACTTTTGCTCCCATTCGTCGATCAAGTTCTTCGCTTTGGAAGCTTCTCTGATGGTACCCCTCACTCGATACCCAGCTTGCAAAAGTTGGTCAGCTACGTGAGATGCAATGTAGCCATTGAGACCAGTGACTAGGACTGTAGAATTCTTGGGAATTGCAGTAGACATGTTGGGAAAAAGGAAGTGTGAAAATGATGATTATTGGGTAGCTTTTTGAATGGTTTTTCAATGAGCTATGATATCAAACCTTGGTGGGAACTGGTCCATTAAGTACCGGTAGGCTAGAGGTGAGTACTACTTGGTACTCTCCATTAGCAATCATGTTTTTTGTGTACTCGTAATTACAAAGCATTGAATTTGGGTGCTCTGAGCGTATTCTTCGCTTGATGAAGCTCAAGTTGTACCGTACCACCGTCCATGGTCGGACTTTACTGTTTCGAGGTGGATAAATCTAAGCGGCGAAAGGTTTATCCGAGCCGATGCCAGAATGTTTAAACTTTGGGTTCCGTCAATTGCAATAAGTCCGTAAGTCCGTCGGTCAGTCAGTCGACTGAGTCTGTCACCGATTGATTGTCAAAATCATCACATTGGAAAACTTTGATATCAATATCGTTGATGGCTAGCTAAAGTAACTGGCTGTGAAAGCTGTAAAGCAACAATACCCCCCCTCCTCGCTCCGTTGTGTCACTTTTCGATAATCTCACAATCTTCAAGTGAGCACAATGATGTGGAAGTCGCGATGATCGTTCTGGTGCCATTAGGCCATTACATTAGTTGAGAGCTGTAGAAATGGTAGTTGCAGCTAATGGATGGCAGGAACGACATGAATATCCTTCTACATAATCGTGTTTCTTACTACCGTTTCTTCACTTTCTTTAAAAACTACGATTTAATGACAACAATGGCATCTTCAAAGGGGTCCACGTCGAAAAGTCCCAGGAACTCTGCTGGTTTGAAACCGCTTTTGAAGCATACAAATACGGGTTACGCTGGTTTGAGACCACCCTTGAAGCATTCCATTCAGGTCTCTTTCTCAAAACAGCCCGATGAAGCGATCCTTGCTAGGAATAGATCCCGTGGAGACAGTGGATCTCCACACAGTAGTGAGGAAGATCAACTTATTCCCTCTTTTGAGGTGAATCATCTAGGCTTCAGGGTCACAACCGGTATTGCTCCAGAAGGTGAGAGTGGCCGAAGAGGATTGAGCCCGATCAAATGCATTCAACTATGCTGGAAATCCTCAAGTGGTGCCTCTCAGGCTGTCAACTTTCTCTGGCCCATTGTCCCTATTGCGATCGTTATTACATACGCTCGGGAAGAATGGCATACAGTCATCTTCATCCTCAACTATCTGTCCATGATACCTTGTGCAAACCTTATTGGTTTTGCTGGTCAAGAATTATCTCGCAAATTGGACAAAGTGTTTGGCATTCTCTTGGAGACCACCCTCGGATCCGTCGTCGAGATTGTGATGTTCATGGTACTTCTCTCCAGACACCAATTCCAGGTCATGCAAGCCGCCATCATGGGCTCTATATTGGCCACTCAGTTGTTATGTTTGGGAATGTGCTTCTTCGTAGGAGGATTGACACATGATGAACAAGAGTTTGATGAAGAAATCAGTGAAGTTGGGAGTGATCTACTTTTGCAAGCGTATGTCTTGTCTCAGATCTCACCCCATCAATACACCCTCTAACCTTCAACAACAGTGGACTTGGTCTTATTGTGCCTGCAGCTTTCAACATGGCCGTCAAAAGCGCCAATTCCGAGCATGATCCTCTTGTACTCGCGGATTCCGTCCTACACATTTCACGAATGACCTCTATCCTGCTCATGATTTCGTATGCATTATACGTATACTTTCAAATGCGTTCCCATCAATCTATATACGATGCTATCTTTGAGGCCGACGAGCAGAAACAAGAGGACTATGAAGAGGATCTTCTAAAAGAAAAGTTGACATTCACCGAATGCGTGGTGGCACTGGCAGTTGCAATTAGCATGGTTACCTTCACCGCCATCAGACTTGTGGAAAGTATCGACTTCATCGTTGACGAAGACGGCATTTCTGATAGCTTTGTTGGTCTGATCTTGGTTCCGCTAGTGGAGAAGTTCGCTGAACATTTGACGGCCATTGATGAAGCCCACGATAATTCAATGAATCTGGCCCTCTCACATGTCTTGGGTGCTACTATTCAAACCGCTTTATTCAACGCCCCTCTTGTTGTCATAGTTGGTTGGATTGTTGATATCCCAATGGATTTGAACTTTGATCTCTTCAATATTGTCATCTTGATTCTGTCGATTCTGGTGGTCGGGAACTTCTTGAAAGATTGCAGGTCCAACTACTTAGAAGGTGCCCTTTGTGTACTCGTGTACATCAATATCGCCGTGGCAGCTTTCTATTATCCAAACCCACCAAAGGTGATTCCGCCACTACACGTGTGACGCTATTGAGACGGAGATGGGCAGTACTCTTGTAAGAACATCCCAAGTCTTAGCGCTATCCTAAATTTTGAGCTTTGTCTTTGATGGAACATGTCAGTTAGCTTTGGCGATCGGGCTATGACGGCTTATACGACATGCGGTTTTTCTCATACTGTGCTCATGTAAAGCTAGAGCTGGGCATACCTCTCACGCAACTTGCAAATGGGCACTTGCTCGTCTATTTTCTTTTAGATATATATATAGATAGGAGAATGAAAAAGCTTCCCAATAAGCCCGTGAGTGCGGTGCATAGTATATGGCATGTGTTTGTGATATATCTAACTTCAAAGGTGGGGAATCCATTCAGTTACTATTGCTAATGTCTATGTGACGAGAGTCTGGCACACACATGTGAATGGTAGTACCTAAGGTGAATTGAGTCAGCTGAGCTTATGGACGGATGTAAACACTAGTACATCAATCTAGTTCCGAAGACCTCGATAAGTTGATCACTTGAGCCATCACGATATAACTATATCAGTTTTGATCATTTACATTCTTCATGCTTACTTTTGGGCCTTTTCCCTTTTTCATACTGATCGAACATCCAGTCCAGAATTTGCGAACATATCATTATGCCTCCGCTGACCACCAGACCAGAGTTGTGCTTCATACCACACCTCAAACCATTTGAAACAATACACATCACTCATCACTACCACAGCCCAACCAAGGAAAAAAGACAAAACTACCAACGAAAATGCCGTAGAAAAACCACTGGAATTAGGAAATCAAACCACACAGATTCCGAATCCGAAATTTCGATATGGAAGGAGGCAGACACATCGCCTGCGCATGCCTCACTCGTTGTCGAAAGTTCGAAAAGAAAGGAAGGCAGGCAGCCACATTGGGTGGGTTGCTTCATCCGCTTTGAAACCTTGGATATTGGAGGAACAGGCAGAAACTACATGCCCTACTACATCCGTCGTTGAAGGAGGGCAGAAGACACAGCCACCATGAAATGAAGCTCGTTATGGTCTTGCGAGGTGCATTTTCAACGGCTTCTGAAGAATATCTTGGTCTGCGTAACATAAGCCGACCTAGAGCTGGCTATTTCAGTGGACATTTTGTACAATCCAATACTTCGAAGCAAGGTATTCACGCTGTTTGGCATCATTTGTGAACTATGGATGACATCTGCCGTGATATTATGGAAACAAGCCAATTGTGCTTCAGCTAATGTAGCCACATTAACATGGTGAGGACGGTCAAATATGTTGTTAGTCGTGCCTTTGTCAAAGAGATTTGTCGAGGCGATTCGCAGATCCTGAGATGAAAGAAATAATCATGACGACTTGATCCGGTGCAGGGCAAGTAATCCTTTTACCACTGAAAGGCACTATCTCTAATTCCCAGACAATCGGAGGTTGCCACCATGATTAGTTCGCAGCATGGATCGGGAGCATACCAGATGTGATATCCAGCATTAGGCATGTTCTGGTTAACATAAAGCTTAAAGCTTTTCATTGCCGACTCACTTTGACTCCGAATAGACGAAAATGCCAATTCAATAATCTTGCAACCATCCCACTGGACCCATTCATCGCTGGTGATGAGATCGAACACAAACTTACTTCGAAAGAATCTTACAAGGATTTCCACCGAAAAGCCATTGGCCGGACCTTTGATTCTCACAACTCTCGACATTCTCTCATATCGACCTTCCGCTGGCAAGACTTTGACTCTGTTCCACAACACTTTTATCTTCTGATCGCGAATGTAGAGGCCCCGGCCGAACTTGGCATCGTTGATAAAATATTCTGCCGCCTCTCGTGTAAGGAAGACAAGATCGGCAGCCGCATGTGCGAAGACATTCTCCACGGCGGGGATGTAATTGAATGAGAAGACTTTGCCATGGGTAACGACGCCGAAGATCTCGGAATGACTAGCTTTTGCAGGGATGTTATGAATTCTCACGGAGCAGTTTTCGTGGTCGAGACACATCGCATTTCGAAGATTGAAGTTGGTGAGCTCACCTTTATAATTTGGATTGAGAGAAATGCCAACTTGTGCAGCCTTACGAGCCATTTCGGGTTTGATAAAACGGCGCTCCCCTTTGAGGATCGCAGATGGGACAAAAACGGACGCTGGACTGTCTACTTTCTTATGTTCCCGATATCGATCCAACACCAAACCGTCTCGTGATGACATTGCGAATAATTCCTGTTCATGAAAATTGTTTGGCATGCTTATAGGCTGGGTGGCTGACATAGCTCCATTCCAATTGAGCATTTCAAATTGGTTTTGATCAAGTACCGAGGTCGTAATTTCAGTGGATGCGGTCGATGCGAATGAGGATGGCATACTTGGACGAGAAGATGTCAAGAAGGTTCGCGGATGGGTTGTGTTTGATGCAGAATCATATTGATTCTGGTTCTCAGTATTGAGTCCGAGGTGTCGGATCATAATATCTCGAATTCCAGCACTATCAAGAACTTTACGAGAAGCTGCAGCAGATATATCCTTGGTGCTGGTCGCGGCAATCCAATTGGAGGGGATATTCGGAGCTTGTTGTGCTTGACCACCTCTTTTCTCACCACGATTCGAATCAGTGCAGAAGTTGTATTTCTCACAGCTGTTTCTTTGGGGTTCAATCGTCTTGTTGATTCCTCCCATACGACGCGAATTAAAGAGGGTGTTATCAACATCTATTCACAGTGAGTAAGGAGCAGTGTGGTTTTAGGCGCAACACGAACGGCTGTTGTATTCTTCACATTTAAATCTTGCACTAGTCATGACTGCGGAGGTCTGTTGTGTTGTATTTTGCTTTCTGTCGATAGGACGGCTTCTTGTATCGATATCATGTCGTTGATCTTGATGTTCGCGAAATTGTTGCTTCGCACGGTCAAGAGAGAGCTCCCAAGAACTTGGTTGATGGACCATTTTTGTTTCTTTCAAGAGTACGAAATGACAAAATGATCAGGGGCGATGATGAGCATTCAAAACCCTATGAGCATCTATATGATGTTATTGTCGAAGAAACTTGCGCGAGAGATGATGTGTATCTATTATTGATCGATCTCGAAGTGTTGAAGATTTGCAGATTTCGAGTTTGAGGTTTAAGCCAAGAACCAGGATGTTAAGCAAGTATCCAAAATCAATATGCAGGTACCCTTCCGCAGAAAAGAACAATTTGATTGATTGGCCAGACGAATCTCGAAACAGGCAGCAGCAGCTGCTACAAGACAGAAGAGGAGATACAAACACGCAGCAACCGAAGAAACCTTGTGTTGGTCGGATTCACTGGGGTGAGGATGTGTGAAGAATACAAAATGACAAGGTGGCCGGGTGGCGGTGGATAGTGGCAGATTTGAAAGGAAAGAAAAGAATATTTGCCGAGATGGGCCTGTAGCCTTGTGATGGGTTTTGTTTGTCCTAAGGCTGGCTGGGTTAAGAAGGCTGCATGCACTGTCGTCGCATCTTCTGGACTTTGTCTCATGCCATAATGGGAGTTCACATGTGGGATTTGGAAATATCTAGAGTGCACTAGGGTTCAAGTTATGGACTTGGAGTTTATTGATGAGAAGTTTCTTGAGCTTCGACATGTATTGATGGGCTGGCTATTAAAGAAATCAATGACTCTGTTTTTGAAAGTCTAATGGAGATTCTTTGATGAGAAGAAGCATCTCGATTTTCGATTTTCGAATCTTGCAGGAGTTTCAAAGGACAACATACACACACACACACACACACACACACACACAATCTTTGGAGGGTGGAAGCCAAGCTTCATATGCTATATCTCACTGGATCATGCCAGATTCAACAGTTCTCCGGAAAGGAAAAGTTGCGAAGTCTCTTACACGCCATACTTATCATATACTTTATACTTTCATCGACCCCTTTTCCCAACTGCGTAATGGAACCGAATAATGCTGCACTCTTATAGTTAGTTTTCGAACTTGGTCGGATATTCATATGATACGATGAAACTCGCTTGGGAGAGGCTATTAGGTTGTGTTTGTCTATTGCGTGGGTTTTCTACCTCTGTTGGTTTGAAGATTGGTGTTATGTCGAAGTCGGTCTTGTGCTGGTGGGTTGTATGTTTTATGTTGCGTGGTTGGTCTTGATGGTTTTAATATCTTTAGGGCATTTTCTTGTGCTGTCTAATTATGATCATGACAGCACATCTAACCTAGGTCTTGGGAAAGTACATACATGGGCTTTAGGGATGCACACATTCTCACACATGGGGCTATTGGGGTTCTTGTAAGGTCTGAGTAAATGTGATCTCTCTAAGGATGTTCTCAGATACGAATTCCTCTCGGTATATACATCAACAAGATTCTATTGTTGCATCACATCACTTTGGAACCATCGATGCATATGGTAGTAGGTATATTAACAGTCCTAACTGAAAACCTTTTATCCTGCAACCTGACCGCATGACCTCTCTCCATATGTGCTAAGATCGGCACCTTCATCGCCATCATGCTTCAGCTTCTTGTGCTTAAGCTCATTGTTTTATTTTTCCAATTCAAAATCTGAGGTGCCATCATTAGGCTAGACGAGGTTTGGTGTGGTTTCTCGGCTGGTGGTGGTAGGAGTCTCGACCGCTATACTACCAAACCCAGGGCATTCCTTCTTTCGAGTTCAAATGGACTATCCAGAGAAACAAGATAGAACCAGAAAATTATTGATAAACAAGCTAGTGTTATCTTCAGAAGAAGGCTGGAGGAATGTTAGATTGGAGTTGACCTTTAAGAGTGAGGGCGAAGTCCATTCCAACCATCTCATTCTGCACGTCTCCAGCTTTTCACGTTCGGACCAGCACCTTTCTCGTACTTAGGTCCACCTCGAGTTGGCAACTTTCCACTTCCATTTCCCTTCGGTCCCCCCATAGTACCCGTACGCCAGTTGGATGTTCGAATGCTTTCCAAAGTTCGTGGAGGTGGTGGGCTAGACTGCAGATCACGAGAAGTACGTGGTCGCGGCATGAACATGTCTTTGCCTTGATCCGCATTTGGATCACAATGATCTGGCGCAAATCGAATGTCGAATTGATTCCCAAGTCCTTGTGCAGCGACTTTCTGCTTGAAGCAACGAAACGCCATTCGTGACTGTGCTTTAATGCCACAAAATGCTAGCTCGACGACTTTTTGATCTGTCCTGTGGTCCCACTCCTTTCGCGAGATGATGTTGAGCTTCATGTCCTTGCCGAAGAAGTCTTCAAGATCGTTGGCAGAGAATCCGAAGGTTCTTGGACCTCGCAACTGTATCACGCGCGATTGGTGACTTTCATCCTCCGGAACGGGGCACTTTTTATTTCGATTCCACTCAACCGTGATTCGTTGTCCGCAAATGCTGATTCCGTTCCCGGTTTCGCTGTCTTCGAGGTATCTCTCAGCTGCCTCTCGTGTGCAGAAGCAAAGTCGTGAAGCGGCATAGGTCCACTCTCCATTAGGGCTGTTCCATGCCACGGAGTATACCTTCCCGTGATGAATCGTGGGGAAAAGATCCTTCATCTCAGCTTTGGGATGGATATTGGTGATATGGAGCGCACAATTTTGATCCTCTGGGGTCAATAAGTCGTTGAGCATCTCTGCGGTGATCTCGCCTTGGTACTTTGGGTTCGGTTCGACTCCGGCGGCATCAAGCATTGCTTGGATCTCTGGTGTGATGATTGCTCTTTCACCTTTCTTCAGTCTCGCGGGCTCGAATGGGATGAGTGGTTGTTCGCTAGGGAGAAGAGGTCGCTCTGATGCCTGGACATCGCTGGAGATGGAGATATCGATATCCTCATTATCATTCTCATCCTCATCATCGGAACTTTCGATATTGGAATTGGAGTAATAATAAGTGTCTTATTCATAAGTCAAACAATGCTCAGCATGATGAGTGGATCGGATGTCACGAATAAGACTTACCTTGTACCATCTCATCACGGTAGTTTGCACCATTGCCCGTTCTCGAGTCCATCGCATGACTCGCACTCTCCATGGTAGCCCTCATGATTTCTTCAGCAAGGCCTGGTGGTGGGGGATGATTAGTATGAGGAGATATTCTCAAAGAGACTGATTGATGGGACATACTGTTGCTTCGTCCATCTTGCGAGATGTTTCCTCGACCAAAAGTCGCTGGAAATTTCGACATCTTCGAGGATTGCAGCGGAAAAAGAGAAGTGGTTTTAAAATTTAATTTAATAAATAGTTGAAAGAGCAAGAAAGCAAGCAAGCAAGCAGGTAATAAAGTTTCAAGCTCTTGGTTGGGTCTTTGAATGAAAGAGCAAGAGTATGGAGATTGAGATTGTAAAGTCTTCAATATCTCTCTAAAACTTTGACAGAACAAGATTTATGTTATGATCCTTGATGTTTTGATGATTGAATCTGCAAAATATGTAGTGTCGGGTTTATCTTGTGTTTGGAAGGATGGATGAAGTTTTTGAAAATATCCGACCTTGAAATACCGACCTTGAGATATCAGAATTTTCAATTTTCGCGTCGGTGTTAAGTTAATATTAACAGGATAGTGAATTTTGTTATTCTCCTATTAAAATTTGATAGTTTAGCGAGTGGTTATTGGCTTAGGGGCCGATTCAAGGTGCTGTACTGCACAGTTTGTTCTTAATTCGGCTAGTGTCCATTTCCCATTTTGAATTTCCCAAGTGGAAATTTGTTTGATTTGAGGATGTTATTTGTGTGTGACCTTAGATGATATTGTAGAAGATGGTGGAAGGAGACTGCTAGGGAGGCAACGTTGTGACTTTGGAACACATCTGTACATTGGTGGCTGAAAATATTTCTAAATTTTATCGTCTGATGTTTTTACTGGAAAATGGGAGATTACTGGTGAATATAATAAAGCCTTGATTGATTACTTAAGGAGAAGGTCATGGGTAAGGGTAGGGTTTTGTTCGATTAATAGATTACTTAGTTGTAACTTGACTGGACTGGATCAGTATCAAGTATTTTCACTGACTGGGATTGTGGAAGGTGGTGTAGGAAGTGAAAGTTCACTAACCACTCTTTCTTGAAAGGAATTTTGAAAAATTCGTGGAGCCCTGGGGGCTTCAGAATAGTTGCCTGAGTTTGTCACAGACTAACTGGAAGATGTATGTCTTGTAGGTCTCTGGTTTGAGTTCGAGTATTAGTTTTAGATACCCAGTTATCGTTAAAGGTAGAAATGACATCTATGTTTGCAACATACTTGTCCTTGACAGACAACTATTGACTACCTACCTAGCACAATAGAACTCAAGGTGGCTTGCTCAAACAGCAACAACAGAAACACTGATCAGTTTTCTATCTCTTTGACGTTTGCAAAGAAAGTTGAAGCTTACGTTGAAGGCTGAAGCTTGACGTGACTGTGCTAAGTGTGTTGTGCAGAGATCTCTGTCATGAAGCTAAATTATTAAGTATATGATATGATGTAATGTGATATGAATTATGTTTTCCAGGCTGTTTTAGAATTTTTTAGGCTGTTGTTGATTTATATTTGATAGGATATCAAGATATCAGGATATCAGGATTTCAGAATACCAAAAGATCAGAAGATGCAAGCTCTCTAAGGTACTGTATCGTATTAGATAGTGGTTTGGTTGGGGAAATGGTGTATTTATATATTATTGTTGGAAGTGCAGTCCAGGCTCACACAAGGTCACGTGATACAGTTGACGTGATATCGTCTATATACACATGCCTCACGCATTTATACATATATCCAATCCCACTAGAATACCTCTAAGGATACACACATACAATATTACTACTGTTATACCTATTATAATCTTAATGATAT